GAATTTCTATGGTTTACCAAATCAGAAGGAACTAAGGGGTTAAATATGCAAGGGCCAAGGTTCCTGAGCTCACTCAAAACCCCAGGGTTGGGAAGGATCTGGCATAATCATCCGGTTCAGGCCTTTGCCTTTACTTAAGGGAGGGCCTAAAATCAAACCCTCCTGGTTGTAGGGGGCAGAGAGCGGGCTGGCTGGGTTGTTGTGTTCCAGAAATTCTTAAGAATGGAGGAGTGGTCCCACATTTCTTTAAGGTACCCATTTCAGTGTTGTACTCTCCTATCAAAAGATTATTCCTGATCATCAACTGAAATCTTTTCATTTTTAATTTATGCCTGCTTCCTCTTGTTCAGCTCTCCAAGAACCAGAAAACAATTGCTTCATGTCCTTCTTGTAAACTCTTCTTCAAATGCTGAAATCTTTTCATCTTTAATTTATGCCTGCTTCCTCTTGCTCAGCTCTCCAAGAACCAGAAAACAATTGCTTCATGTCCTTCTTGTAAACTCTTCTTCAAATACCTAAGTGTACAGGCTTTAAGTGTGACAGAATTGAGATCAAGTCCCTGTTCTACCCTGACCAGGTATGTGACATCGAGCAAGTTACTTAATCTCTTTAGCCTCAATTTTCAACATCTGTAAAATGGGTACAGATAGTCCCTACTTCATAAGGTTGTATGAGAATTAAAACATATACTGTGCTCAATAAATATTAACTATTATTATTACATGCCTAAAGACAGTAATTGCCAGCATTATTATCTTGGTTTCAATGAGAAATATCTGAGGGTTGTTCAAGTACAACCAATAATCAGTTAATACAGATTGACTGAGTGTGTGCTACTAGAAGGATAGAGGGAACTTCTTATTCTATTAATACCTACTCTACTAATTTACTAATAATTTTTAGTGATCATTAGAACAATAAACAGTTTCTCTTGAATCATCAAAGACATTATTTTAAACAACCAAAACATTAATACCAGCTAACATTCACTTTCCCTTTACCATCTAACTTGTCTTCTGTATTCATGAACACATTTAATAACCCATGTGGAAGGTGTCACTTTGTAATAATACCCAGTTTACAGTTGAGGAAATTCAGGCTCAGAGGTGACCCTGCTTAAGGTCACGTAACCAATAAGCAGAACCAGGACTTGAACTCAAGTCCATGTTAAGTCTGAATATGCTTTCTCCAAAGAGCTTGGTCAGAGGTAAGTTGTCACAATGCCAACTGAGAGGGCAATATTCTGTGATGAAGTGGAGATGACAGAGCATAGATTTTTACTTTTCAAATTTTCTGGAATTTTAATCTTATGAAAGAGCTGGGTTTTAGTATTATTGGCAAAGGCCATGTTTCTTTTCCCACCGCTGTCCACAGAAAGCTCCTTCTGTAATCCGATGTGAAAACCAAACAATATAGACACTCTCAAAGTGAAGACGGAAATGTGGCCCTTCATGTTCCTGGAGTGCTGGCTCTCACTGGGAGAGACCCGTGCATGGCTGCCCATCTCAGTCTGATTTCCCAACAGTGGCTGCCCAAAGAGAAGGAAGCCAGGGCCTCCACAGAGAATAAAGAGAGGCTGGTTACCGTCTTTTTCCAGTTCCCATATCGCCACGAGGGGAGATGCCAGCAAAACCAGGGAAAACCAGGAGATGACCAACTGCTGATGACACATCTGTAAGGAGGGGAGAAACAGGCGGAAGAGAAGGGGAAAAGAGGAGAGAGGATGTCAATAATTATTCAGATACCTTTGGGAACCACACACACATTCTATGCACATTGTTTTAAATTGTGATTTTCCCCTTTCCTCTCCAGAAGAAAGGCTAATTCTAAGTGAATCACAGGAGCTCTATGCCAGTCTCTGGGTAAGAACATCTACAAATAGAGGACCGTAGGCTACTTGGAACTGAAAGAGACTGAAGGGCAGCTGTCTGATACAATCTTCTTGTATTTAAGGTGAGAAGCCTGAAGCTTAGAGAAGGCGTAGACTTGTCCAGATCAATATTCAGCACTTGTTTATTTAGTGCTGAGCTGGGAGCAGCTGGGAGTGAAGGGCAGCTGTCTGATACAATCTTCTTGTATTTAAGGTGAGAAGCCTGAAGCTTAGAGAAGGCGTGGACTTGTCCAGATCAATATTCAGCACTTGTTTATTTAGTGCTGAGCTGGGAGCAGCTGGGAGTATAAAAATGTTTTAACTGAATCCTGCTTTCAAAGAGGAAATACTTTCACTCAACAAGTATTTGTTAGTCAGTGTGTTAAATTGCCTCCCCTCCAGTTGGGGAGATAAACCACACACCTGTATCACGGCAACGCAAGGCAGTATGTGCTGGGACATCCAGGGCTAAAGGACTTCGATTAGGGATAGGAAATAATACAGAGGTGAACTTTCAAGTCTGTCAACAACCTGGTCTCCAGCCCTTGTAAAGGCTGAGTTTCTCTTGTTTATGTGGCAGTTGCTCTAAATTCAAAGATTACTCCCTCTCACATAATGTAACCCAGTGGTTCTCAAACTTGCGCGTAGGACAGAATAACCTGGAAGGCTTGCTGAAACAGACTGCTGCGCCCCACCTCCAGAGTGTTTGATTCAGCACGTCTAGGGGTGAGGCCTGAGAATGTGTGTTTCTAAAAAGTTTCCAGGTGAAGCTGATGCTGTTGGTCTGAGGACTGCACTTTGAGAACCCCTGGTTTAACCCATGTTCAGGGTCCAGGGTCAGGCTCCTTTTTTGGAAGAAGACCATAAAATATTGATATATCCACCATGAAATAATGAAATGCATAATTTTGTGCAAAATCAGCCACCATTTTACATTGAAACTCAGTCTAAATTGGTATCCAGGGTTTATGAAAATCTTCAGACTGCAAAAATTATACCCCACTTATGAATTATGTAGAGATGATTACTGTCTAATTTCATTTTGAAATACCTCCACCCATCTTGGAGAGCACTAAAGTTCTGCAGGAACATGGTTTCAGCAACTACTGGTCTAAATATCAGAAGAACAAGGTTCAAACGTTTCAGTCAAATACATTAAAAATGGGCATCACTTGGTTGCTCGGACTGAGTATTGACAAATGATGGCTTTGGAAGAACAGCTGCTAACCCTAGGGGGACCTTGCTATGTACTTTATTCTATTCTAAAGCTTGTGAGTAGCAGAGACAGGACCAGAAGTCAGGCGTTCTTGTTCACTTCTCAGTGCCCGTGTCACCGCAGCATGGAGTTTTAGGGACATGGTTGTCAATTCAGCCCAAGTTATGACTATAGTAAAGTACTAGTAGGCACAAAGCATTGATTAGTACATTTACAGGCTTGGAGTCAAGCAGACAGGCTTGAATTCTGGTCACATCCCTCACTAGCTGTAGGACGTTGGTCAAGTTACTCTCTGAGCCTCAGTCTTCTCATCTATAAAGTGGACATAATATTCATCTCAAAGGGTTGCTGGGAGAGGCAATGAGATGACATATTATAGAAGGCAACCAATAACATGTGAACTTGTACCTAGAGGAAGACATAAAGGAAAAATCTGATACCTCTCTGTCATATACAATGGAGATCCAAAAATGTTGTGCCAGGCTGTAGGGAAATGCTCATAGAGGTACCGCAATTACACGGGTCTGTAAAACCCAGATGTCAGCACTCTGGGAACGGAAACAACAGGGATTCCTGGCATCTCCTGATGATTCCTTTGTACTCTCTTAACATGGGATTTTCCCTTTGGCTATGCGCCCAGCACTGCCTCTTTGGGCCTCAAGTGCCTTTGAGAATTTCAGGTGAACTGAACTTCAGGGTCAAGGGAGCCCTGGCAATGGTTCTAAGCATCAACTCCCATTTTAGTATCACCTACATTTTAAACCCCAGAACTGTGGCAAGGGGTGGAGATGGTGGTGGGGCACCTCTTCATCAAACTTGGAAAAACAAAGAAAGGGGGCAATCTGGGGTCACCCTTTGGCTCTCTGGCAGATCAGCTGATACTGGGGAACTGTATCTCTCAGCCCACATTTCCTCAGAATGGTAAGTTTGAGACTCTTGAGAATTAAAATTTTTGAAATGCAATTTCATAGGTTTTCTAAATTCTTAAAACCCTTGCATGATGGAAGAAAGTACCCCAGGTTAGGCACTTCTTCTGCCTGGGGTATGCTAAAGCTCCCTAACACTGGTGCCACATGAGCATATAAGTTACACTTGGGCATTTATTTTTCAAGTTTTGTTTGTTATTTTTTAATTAGAAAAGAGAATTATTATTTAAAAATCAAAGGACATAGTCACAGTTTGTATGAGTGGTACATGTGAAGGGCTCCAGTTCTAGAGCCAGGTGGACCTCTAGAATTGGCATCCAAGCTCTGGCACCATTTTAATGAGAATCCAGCATAGAGGAATTCCATGAATTATTAGTAGAACAAATGAATGAACAGTAATCATAAAATTTCAGATCCCAGTAAAATGAAGTCTAAGAGATTACTCAAATTCTGTGTGATAACTTGAAATTCCTTGTTTGAAAAAAGTGGGCCAACAGCTAGGGTTTAGTGATCTTTATTAAAATATTTTAACCTGATCGCGTTGTTGCACACAATTTTACCTGGGCAAGTATGAGACATCAGTTCAGTAAAGATTACCTTTTTTCCCCCCTTCTCACAGGTTTTAAAACTCTTTAGAAAGTAGTTTTAAGCATTATAATTGCTTTTCATTTTTTTGAGCGGGGCCAAAGTTGTTTAATCCAAAAGAACTAGAGAACCCAGCTATTAATTTGGTTGCTATCACAACTGACTATTGCAAATATGGGAGCAAGTATGATTTGTAACATTCAGTTATGAGGTATAATTATGAATTCAATTACTTTAAGGAGCACATAAAATGCTTTTTAAAGTTTTCAGTACTAAGGCGAGCACCACTGACTTTAACTCTATCCAAGTATAATCTTTTAACTGATGGCCATTAATATGTAAGAAACACTTTCATATACATACCACTTCAAAATAAAACAAAACAAACTTTCTATAAAATATGCATTCATTTACAGACCTTGGTATACAATTATTACTATTAGTTGACCCTTTAAACTGACATTTTTTACATCAGTCCCCAAAGTACCAAGTTTTCACTTGAAGAGTCATGAAAGTCGATGAGTCACCACGGATGCTTCCAGGAACCCACCATCCATGCTGCCAGGTGCAGGGGTAGCACAGTCATGGTCTCTATCCCTGGACACCTGTAGACCCGTGGGAAGGGGTGGCAGGGGCTGGGGAAGTGCTTACCTTGCTCTGGACAGGCTGCAGAGTCCGATGGGCCTGAAACACTTGTTGTTTCTTCTGCTGCTGTTGCTGCTACTGAAGCTTATATACTCTACTCCTACTAAGCTTTCTGATGGAAATTCAAGCTAGAAACTGACTCTTCCAAATTGCAACACTGAAAACAACTCTCAAAACCTTCTGGGGGAATTTCAAGAAGTTCCTTTTTTCCTCTCACTCTCTGTAAGTATCAATACCGCTGAGGGAACGTGGACACCAAAATCCCAGGTAATGAACTAAGAGGAAATGACTTTTGGGTGGGGAAAAAGGAAGGAGATGGAGATGCTGATTTCTTTGGGTTTACATCATGGCCCAGGTGCCTAGAGACAGCACTAGGCAGCCTTCCTGGCTTCCACAGACTGGGGAGGAAGGAAGGCCAAAGGGAGGTCATGCGGGAGGCTTAGTTCATGTCAGGATGGAGTAACTCTGAGCTAGAGGGCCCCAAAGCAAAACCCATGGTTCTCCCGAAACCAGAGGGGATGAGATTGAGGGCAAAGGGTTTAGTATATCTGGAGCACCTTCTCCACAATATTCCTGTAACATCTGGATTTCAGAAACATACTATTACCACCCTTTGTGTCTCCACGCACCACACACACACACACACTCACCCTTGCATATTCATACAGACGCAACCCTGGGGAGATGGTAAAAATGTGTGTACCACTAATAAGACTCAAATTATTCCTGTAACATCTGGATTTCAGAAACATACTATTACCACCCTTTGTGTCTCCATGCACCACACACACACACACACACACTCACCCTTGCACATTCATACAGACGCAACCCTGGGGAGATGGTAAAAATGTGTGTACCACTAATAAGACTCAAATATGTGCAGGGACACATCTTGTGCTCATAGGTACTCGGTCATAAGACGGATGGGAGCAGAAAGCGAAATATCCACAGGCAGGCATACAGACAACCACACTCAAGGCACACCTCCTTGGGCCCCCAGATTATATCCTCATTTCATGTGCACATAAAGCTATGGCCCCAAGAGCTCTGCGCAGATGCATAGAACGAGTGGAGTGAAGATATCTCTCCTAGCGGGATTTGAAGTCGCTAAGAGGCGTGCAAAGGTGTACACCGGTGCTCGACCCCGCTCCCAGGTCCGCACACGAACAGGAACACGCGCACCGAGTGCACGCGGGCCGTCCCCGGCGCCGCCGACAGAGGGCGCTGCGGGAGGCTGTCCCCGCGCCCGGGAGCCCAGCGCCGCCCGCCGACTTCTCCATCCCGGCTCTCGGCTCCCGGCCCCCGCGCGGGGGAAGTTCCTGGGACGGGGGCTGGGCCCGGGCGGGTTTCAGGCGGGCGCAGGTTTCCTCGCAGTTTCAGCTGGGGGAAAATGGGAAACTCGGGCGAGAGCGGCGGAGCTTCCCAGCCGCACGCTTCCTCTCTCCAGCGGGCCGGGAGGGCGGGGGCCGCGAGGCTGGCAGTCCCACTGGTTATCCGACCTTGCGCCCCGGCTGGGGCGGAGACGCTCGCTCCTGCTCAGACGCCTTCTCCCGTCTCCTGACCTCTAGGCCTCCCAAAACTTGGCCTCCTAGGCTTCAAGTGAAACTGAAGTTTTGTATCCGAGATCTACTGCTAAGTGAACAAAGGTCGCATGATGTGTTGGTGTGTGTGTGTGTGTGTGTCAGTGCACCTGCACTTTTCACAATTGGCATCCCTGGAGGGCCTACCCACGGTTTGATTTTCTTGGTTACTATAGCATTATACACAACGCGTACTGCACTATAGCAACTTGGGGAAGGAGTTCTGTAAAAATGTATTAATTTCTTCCAACCAGTAACCAAAGGGTACTGAACAGAAAACAATGTAAAATTGGCATGAAATAGTTTCACTAATTCATTTACAGTGGCTGCACCACTGTAGATGAGCCCTTGTGCCCCCACATAAATACATACATAAAATAAGACAAGTAAGACCCCAAAAGACAAATATTTTATTCGTGTTCATAAAAGCATCTTCAAAAATAAAAAAAATATATAAGATTTGTAACATAAACTCTCAGTACAAATAGTGTGCTAGTTATGTAAAAAGAGCTTCAGGGGAAGCCCCCAGCCTCCCTTTTCCAGTCAGCATGCAGCCCCCAGCCATATGTGAAAAGTGTGGGGCCACTGCTGTAGTAGGTGTTTAAGAGCGTGGGCTCTGGAGTCACAGAAAGCTGGATTCCAGCACCTGCTCTGCAGGTTGGGTAATGTCTCTAAGCCTTGGTTCTCCACTTATGTGAAATGGGGTTAATAATAGTACCCGTGTTAGGTTTGCTGTGAAGATCAGGTGATGGGATGCTCTTAGCACAGCATCCTGGCTAAGTGCTTAATGAATGGCTGCTTCTGCTTATTCAGTTTTTTAGCCTGCCACATCCTAGAAAGGCTTTTGGTAGTTCACAAGGGGACATCAAAGATGACAAGAGGAGTGGAGGAAGACAGAGAATTAATGAGGAGGCAGATGTAGGGCTCCTAATAGTCCTTACTCCATGAAACCATACAGCGACAGTTGGACGGTTAGATTGGCTCTGAGCATCTAGGAAACCCAGATGAGAAAGAACTTGCACGTGCCCCATCTCTGCCGCAAGGGACTATTTTGATGAGTCCAGCTTACCCACAGAGGAATAGTTCTCATACTTTATCTGCACATAAAAAAAATTCAGGTTCTTGGGTCTGACAATCAGTAGATCTGGGGTGGGGCTCAGGAATCTGCATTTTAATAATGGAGGTTCTGATGTGGTCACTCGCAGGTGGATCTAATGTGGGGACCATGGCCCCACTTGGAGACACACTGCATACCTGTGCCCCATTGCCTGGAGATACACACTAGGCCTCTGTCATCTCTGGACACCCCACAAGGCCAGCTAGTGCTCTGGTCATGTCAGCCGAATGCCCATTGATCTGATTTCGCAGAAGAGGTTTATCACCCTGTCCCACTTCACAATCCAGACTTTGACCCCAGGCAAACTGAACCAAAGCCCTTGAGCTCCCTATGGGAGAAGAAGGTCTGCTGACAAACAGCAGGCGTGCTGAGCTGCCAAGTCAATATGACTGACGCCGCCTAATCGGTGAGATGGAGGCAATCCCCCTAGAAGCCGAAAATAACTAGAAGAATTTTTTGACCACAAAACCTTTTTTTTTT